CCTGGGATGAAACCTACTTGATCATGACATATGACTTTTTTGATAATAAGCTGTAATTTGTTGGCTAGAATTTTGTTGAGAATTTTTGCATCTATATTCATTAGTGAAATTGGTCTGAAATTCTCCTTTTTAGTTGGGTCTTTTCCTGGTTTTGGTATCAGGGTGATGTTTGCTTCGTAGAACGTGTTAGAGGAAGATTCCTTCCTCCTCAATTTTTTGGAATAATTTCTGCAATATAAGAATAACCTCTTCTTTGAAGGTTTGATAGAATTCTGGTGTGAAGCCATCTGGACCAGGGCATTTTTTTGTTGCGAGATTTTTTTTTTTTTCTGGCCGGGGCTGGGTTTGAACCCGCCACCTCTTGCATATGGGGCCTGCACCCTACTCCTTTGAGCCACAGGTGCTGCCCAGGGAGATTTTTTATTGTTTCTTTGATCTCAGTGCTTAAAATCTATCCAGGAGATCTATTTCATCTGGGCTAAGTCTAGGGAGATGGTGTGATTCCAAATATTAGTCCATTTCCTTCACATTGTCAAATTTCTGGCTATAAAGTTTCTGGTAGTATTCAGAGATAGTCTCTTGTATCTCTATGGCATCAATTGTTATTTCCTCTTTATCATTTCTGATTGAGGTTACCAGAGATTTTACTTTTTTATTTCTAGTTAGTCTGGCCAAAGGTTTATCTATTTTATTTATTTTTTTAAAAAACCAACTCCTTGTTTCATTAGTTTTCTGAATTAATTTTCTTGTTTTCAATTTCATTAATCTCTGATTTGATTTTGGACATTTACTTTTTTCTGCTGGGTTTAGGCTTAGATGATTATTCTTTTTCCAATTCCATAAGATGGCTTGTGATTTTGTTGATGTGCTCTCCTTCTGCCGTTGCCCTGGGTAGAGTGCTGTGGCATCACAGCTCACAGCAACCTCCAACTCCAGGGCTTAAGTGATTCTCTTGCCTCAGCCTCCCAAGTAGCTGGGACTACATGTACCTGCCACAATTCCCGGATATTTTTTGGTTGCAGCTGGCATTGTTGTTTGGTGGGCCTAGGCTGGATTCGAACCCTCCAGCTCAGGTGTATGTGTATGGTGCCTTGGCCACTTGAGCCACAGGCGCCTAGCCAGTGATCTCCTTTTTTATTTCTTCCTACCCAGCTGTCATTCAGCATAAGGTTGTTAAACTTCCATGCCTTTGTGTGAGGTTGAATGTTTTTGTTGGAGTTGAGTTCCACTTTTAGTGCCTTGTGGTCTGAGAAGATGCAAGGTAAAATTTCAATTGTTTTGATTCTGTTGAAGTTTGTTTTGTATCCTAGGATATAATCAATTGTGGAGAATGTTCCATGGGATAATGAGAAGAATGTACATTCTTTATCTTTGGGATGGGGTGTTCTATATAGGTCTATCAAGAATTTCCTTCTCTTTTAAGGCTGAATTATATTCCATTGTATTATAGACCACATAATTGGTTATCTGTGCATCAGTGGACACTTGCCATGCTTTTATTTTGGGGCTAAGTGAATAATACTGCTGTGCGGGTGAGTGTACAAATAATCATTTGAGTCCATGCTTTCAGTACTTTTTTTTTTGAGACAGAGTCTTACTTTATTGGCCGTGGGCAGGTTCAAACCCACCACCCTTGGTATATGGGGCTGGTGCCCTACCCAATGAGCCACAGGTGCTGCCCGCTTTCAGTGCTTTTTGATACAGCGCAGGATCATAGGGCAATTCTGTGGTTTACTTTTTGAGGAACCACCAAACTATTTTCCACAGGGACTGCACCATTTTACATTCCTACCAGCAGGAATTTCTGTTTCTTAACATCTTTATTCAATACTTACTGCTTTCTTTCTTTTGAAACTATCCTTGTGTCAGCAGTACAGTTTTGATCACCGTAGCTTTGTAGTTAAGTTTTGAAAGTAGGAAGTGTGAGCTCTCCAACTTTGTTCTTTTTCAAGATTGTTTTGGCTATTCAGAGTCCCTTGACATTCCACGCGAATTTTAGAATGGGTTTTTCTATTTCTGCAAAAAAAAAAAAAAATGCTCTTGAGATTTTGATAGAGGTTGCATTGAATGTGTAGATCACCTTGGGTAATATTGTCTTAACAATATTAAGTTTTCAGTCCATGAACAAATGTGTTTTTGCGTTTATTTAAATAGGTCTTCTTTAAGTTGTTTCACCAGTCTTTGCAGTTTTCAGATGCCATCACACAGGCTGGCAATAAAGTTCACATGCAATTCGTGTGCACACTATTTAAATTGCAAACTTTATGGCCACTCTGTATATAAAATTGCTTTCTTAATTTTCTTTTTGGGGCTGTTAACGGCTAGTATATAGAAATGCAAATGATATATATATATTTTTTTGCAGTTTTTGGCCAGGGCCAGGTTCAAACTCACCACCCCCAGTATAAAGGGCTAGTGCTCCATTCCTTGAGCCACAGGTGCTGTCCTGCAAATGATTTCTTTTTTTTGAGACAGAGCCTCAAGCTGTCCCCCCACAGGCACCCGCCACAACGCCTGGCTATTTTTTTTTTTTTGGTTGTAGCCATCATTGTTGTTTTGTCAGGCCCAGGCTGGATTCAAACCCGCCACCTTAGGTGTATATGGCTGGCACCTTAGCCACTTGAGCCACAGGTGCTGAGCCGTGCAAATGATTTTTTGTATTGATTTTGCATTGTACAACTTTGCTGAATTCATTTATTAGCTATAACAGTTTATGTGGAATCTTTATATAAGATCATGTCATTTGGGAACAGAGATAATTTACTTTTTCCTTTCTAATTTGGACTTTTATTTCTTTTTCTTGCCTAATTACTCTGGCTAGGACTTCCAGTACTGTGTTGAATAGAAGAGGTGAGAGTGAGCACCTTGCCTTGTTAGATCTTAGAAGCTTTCAGTCTTTCAATATCGAATATGCTCTTAGGGGTGGCTTTTCATAGATTCCTTTATTGTGTGGCAAAGTTTCCTCCTATTTCTCGTTGACTATTTTTATGAAGAAAGTTTGTTGTTGGCTCGGCACCTGTGGCTCAAGCGGCTAAGGCGCCAGCCACATACACCTGAGCTGGCGGGTTCGAATCCAGCCTGGGCCTGCCAAACAACAATGACAGCTGCAACCAAAAAATAGCCGGACATTGTGATGGGCACCTGTAGTCCCAGCTACTTGGGAGGCGGAGGCAGGAGAATTGATTGAGCCCAGGTGTTGAAGGTTACTGTGAGCTGTGATGGCACAGCACTCTACCCAGGGCAACAGCTTGAGACTCCGTCTCAAAAAAAAAAAAAAAGAAAGTTTGTTGAATTTTTTTAAGTGCCTTTTCTTTTTTCTCACCGCTATGCAAATAAAGATTAAATACCCTTTGAGGGGTATGAATTGAGAAGATCATTGGTTTTTGTCCTTCATCCTGTTAATGTGGTATATTACATTGATTGATTTTCTTATGTCCAACTATCTTTCCATTCTGGGAATGAATCCTACTTTGTCATGATATATAATTCTTTGAATATGATGCTGAATTCAGTTACCAGTATTTTGCATCAATATTCATAAGAAGTGTTGGTCTGTAGTTTTCTTTTCCTGTAGTGCTCTCATCTGGCTTTGGTATCCGTGTAATGCTGGCCTCACAGAATAAGTTAGAAAATCTTCCCTTCTCTTCAACTTTTTGGAGGAGGATTGATATTAACTCTTCTTTAAAAGTTTGGTGGAATTCACCAACAAAGCCATCTGGTGAAGGCTTTTCTCCATCAAGAGGTGGGTTTGACTCCATTTGGCAGATGAAGTGACACAGTAAAGCCACTTCCAAGATTGTGTAAGGTGACGTGGGCAGAGAAGATGAAGCCAAGATCTTATACTGTCTCTGTGGGGGAGGAGGTACCAAACAGTTGGGCTTCCGGCCTTGCTCCTGCTGCCAACTTCTGTGGGCAGCAAAGGGTCTGGGACACAGGTTGCTGTGGCCCCTGGTATCTGTGAGGTGGCCCGTGTTCCCCTTACTGTACTGGTCTGGAAAAGAGCCCGTATCAGGAGACAGGCAGCAGCTGTCCTCATTCAGCCATCTTTGTCTCCTAGCTATTCCTGAGGTGGCCAGAACCTTTTCTGGGCTTCAACACATACTGCTTGGGTTGGGCTTATACCTCGCCTACTTGTTCTGGATGGAATCACTGTGTGCTAGAGAGTTTAACACACTTACAGTAACTCATGGGTTAGAGACAAAATTACAAAGGAATTCTTCAATTACTTCAAATAATACAATACCATATAGCAGGCTCAGTGCCCATAGCACAGAGGTTATAGCACCAGCCACATATACTGAGGCTGGCAGGTTTGAACCCAGCCCAGGCCAGCTAAGTAACAATGACAACTGCAACAGAAAACTAGCCGGGCATTCTGGCAGGCACTTGTAGTCCCAGCTACTTGGGAGACTGAGGCAAGAGAATTGCTAAAGTCCAAGAGTTCAAGGTTACTGTGGTGCCTTGGCACTCTACCGAGGGCAACATAATAAGAATCTGTCTCAAAAATAATAATAATAATAATTAAAAAAAAATAAAATACAAAGAAAAATTGATTTTGAGAAAAAGAAATCATACAGCAAAATATGTATGTTGTAAAGTATATTTTATCTAGGAAAATGTTTAGCCTTTTAACAGACTGGAAACCCAGGCGTGGTGGCTCACAGAGAACAGCCTGAGCAAGAGTGATACCCTGTCTCAAATAAAAATAGAAAAACTGGGGGGTTGTGGCAGGCACCTGTAGTCCCAGCTACTGGGGAAGCTGAGGCAAGAAGATCACTTGAGCCCCTATAAGGTATGACCCCATGGCTCTCTAATCAGGGCAGTAAAGTAAGACTGTCTCAAAAATACAAAAACAAATAAACAAAAAACCCAAAACAGTTTGCTGGCTGCCAGAAGACTGAACCCATGAGAAGTTAGGGTCTAACATCTGGGAATGGTTTTCCTTCATCATTGTGGTTCAGCGTTATGAGAAAACTTTCTTTTGTCCTTTGTTTACCCAGGACTTGTTTTTTAAATATACCTGGAATAACTTTTTGCACTTCCAAGTGGAACTATGCATAGCTGCCATTCTCTCCCACACTTCTCGGGAGGAGAGAGCAGATGCCAGTGGATCTGAGAGCAGGGTGGAACCTCTGCCTGGGAGTGAGAACAGGAATGTGGAGACCCCGCAGCCTGCACCTGGCCTCCCTGAGAACACAATGGTGACCCACGTAAGTCCAAGCGACTGTCCCTATGACGCCTCTCGCTGTAGCCTGAGCCCCCTAGACCATGCTGACATCAATGTCAGTGGTGGGTACTGCAGCCAGCACCACTAGGGCCTTGTGTGTGATCTGTGGCCTCCTATGGGGTAGGTGGTGCTTCTCTCTTCTCACCTACAAGGGCGCCACATTGTAAAGAAAATGTCTAGGTCATGGAGCCAGTAGAAGGGCAGGGGCAGCATCTGCAACAGGCCACTTTTGCCTATGGACAGCTGCCACTCTTAGAAGAGTCACCTGGACACTGCCCCAGGAGTACCCTTCCTTCCAGAGCTGTGCTGGGAGGGGCCCCACTGTGTCTGAGCGTCAGTCTGTTGTTGGAGCAGACCATGAAGGGAAAACCAAGGGAAAGAGAAAAAGTGTCAAATTCCAATGAGAAAACTTCCTGGGGTTTGGACCTTTGTTTTTTTATTGTTTTGAGATAAGAGTCTCATTTTATAGCTCTGAGCAACACATCACAGCTCACAGCAACCTCAAACTCTTTGGGCTCAAGCAGTCCTCCTGCCTCAGCCTCCTAAGTAGCTAGGACTACAGGTGCCCGCCAAGACACCTGGCTAGTTTTTAGAGATGGGGATCTTGCTTTTGCTCAGGCTGGTCTTGAATTCCTGAGCTCAACAGTCCACCTGCCTCAACCTCTCAGAATGCTAGGTTTATAGGCGGGAGCCACCAATGGATCTTTTTAACTAAAACCAGGTACCTTCACCCTGTGTCACTCCTCCCTCCTCTTCCCCTTGTTGTCCCCTGGGAAGGCCAATGTATCTGTGTGTTCACAGCTGTCTCTCCTTTGGAGCTATGCACAGGGGCTGGTGCCTGGGTCTGTGTCTTAACTTCTTTCCTGCCCTCTACGTTGTCACATCTGGCAGAGAGAAGGCCTTTCTAGGTTTCCTTAGGAAAGGAAGGAAAGGAGCAGCTTGGTACCTTGAGCACAAAGACGACTCAGATGCCACTTGAGGCCATTGGCCTGGGAGGGCAAGGGCAGCAGGGAGCAGCCTCAACTGAGCTGCATGGCTGATATGAGGACAGGCTTAGAAAGGGTCACCCCAAGTGTCTGGCCAAAGGTCCCATAGATAGGGCTGGAGTGAGCTTGTAGATCGCACTCTGCCCTCCCAGGACAGGTATCCTGGTGCCTTCTGGGTGAGAGCCTGGTGGGCTAGCACTGAGGGAATCAGGTCCAGCCTGGCCCACAGATGGTGCCCCAAGGGTTGAGCAGTCCAGGACAGGCAGTATTACTGGTGAGAGCCACATGGCAGGAAGGGGTGTTCAGGGGCCACACAGGCCACTGAGGGACTCTTACCCAGATAGGGAGGCCATGGTGTATAAGGGTGTGAGTCCGAGTCCAGAATAAACATCCTAGGTGCAAAAAATAGTCTGTGTCAGGGTTGGGTGAGAAAAAGTGCTACAGGCCCCAGTGGTTCCTCCTGGGCACTGAGGAAGGTGGTGGAAGAATGGCCATGAGGACTGGGTATCCAGGAACCAGAGGAGAGCAGGGTATGTCCTGCTATCACACCTGAATTTCAGGGCCCTGGCACTAGTCTCTCTGGTTTAGGAGCTGTGCATGTGCCGTGGCCCACATGGCCCTTGGTGCAGAGCCTATTCAGACATGGTGACTACTGGCCCTGCTTAGTCCAGGAGTGGGCAGGGGGTTGCATGCAGCCTTGCAGACCCTGACTCTGGCTGCCTGCCCCACAGCTGTTCCAGAAGTGCTGCCTGGTACAGAGGATCCTGGAGGCCTGGGAAGCCAACGACCACACACAGTAAGAGTTGTTCAGACACGAGATGATGCTGCCTGCACAGCTCTAAGGGCAGTGTGGGTGTCAGCTGACTGCTCAGCTCTGTGCTCCCGGGCTGTGAATGCTGCTGGGGAAAGAGGACGGAGGAGATGATAGGGCCAGGCCAAGTTGTGGCCAAGAGTGCACTGGGGCAGGGAACCAGCCCCTTCCCCAGAGCCTGTGTTCCCATGTCTGTTCTTGACTTGCCCTAAGAACCTGAGATACCCTCTTTCAGCACTTTTGCACAGAGATATGTTTTTCTTTTAATCTCCCCATGTTTTCTGTTTAAGTTGGATGTTCCTGTGCCATATGGCCAAAGGTTGGTTCCCCCCCAGCCTCTGTTCTGCTGGGAGCAGTCAGACCCCAGGTGGTGCAGGAGGGGTGCAGTGGTATGAAAAGAGCCCAGGGCCCACCTGGTGGTATGGAGGCCGCACCTCATCCCATCTGGTGCTTCTGGGCCTGAGCTTTGTACCTGATAGTCCTGGGGTCAGCTCCTGCTCTGCTGTTCCACTGCTGGGACTAGGGCCACACCATGGCCTTTATGCCTCGGTTCTCTTGTCTGTGAAGTGGGGATAAGGGCAGTGTCTGTCCCAGCACTTTCTGGTGGTGAGCCTGCACCACATGGCAGGTGCTTTGCAGACATATGTCCTGTGAGCCACTCTAAGTGGCTACTTGAGATTAACCCCGGAGCCTAGTCAGGAGAATCTCCCAGCCACAGGGTGGGGTTAGGGGGCTGCCCTGATGGTGCTGTTGCTTTCAGGGCTGCAGGTGGCATGAGGCGTGGGAATATGGGCCACCTCACGAGGATTGCCAATGCGGTGGTGCAGAACTTGGAGCGGGGCCCTGTGCAGACTCACATCCGTGAGGTCATCCGAGGTGAGCCCTTCGCTCTGCTCATCCCTCTCCTGGTTGTGGGTGCTGGGTCCCTGACATTGGCTGTGTCCTGAGTGCAGCTGCCACATGCTATCCCCGGCCCCTGCCCACTGCAGGCGATAACCACACTGATACTGGGATGGACCCTGTAGCCTCTCTTCTTTGCTCATGGTACTCTCTTTTCAGGGTGGGTTGGGTCTGGTGTATTGCTCTATGAGACAGATATGTGGAGACCCTGTCAGGTTTCTGAGTAGTGGCACAGGAGACCCAACCCCTGTCAGGCACAGGTGCTTAGAAGCCATAACCATTGCCAGGCTTTCCTATAGTTCGTGGCCACTCATGGTCTTGCCTGAGTGCTGGCCAGCCTTGCCATGTTCCTGCGGTGCTCGGAGCTCATGTGGAAGCTCATCAAGGACCTTCCTAGCACACGTCTCAGGAGCCAGAGATACGGTGGTGCCTATTTCCTAAGAGCAGGTAGTAGAGACAGGAGTCTTGCTGGGGGTGGTTGGTCCTGCTCTTGGCTTGAACAGAGCAGCCCCTCAGTATAGCTTGTGGCCCCTGCCCTCAGCCCATGGTACCTGCTGCCCCAGGCACCCTCTACTCCCAACTCCTTCCTGGCTCTCATGTCCTAGGCACACTGTCAGGCTCTGTGGCCATGTCTTCATTGTCTGATGTGAATGTAGGGATGAGCAGGAGAGGGCCCGGGCAGAGGAATCAGGTGGCTCAGATAAGCCTGTGTGGTCTTGCAGCCTGAGTGGTGCCCAGGCCCCTTGAGGCATGGTTCTAGTGGACAAGCAGGTGGACTCAGAGATTCTCATGAACTGGTGTGTGCATAGATGGGTCAGGACTCTGAGGGTAGGAGCCCAAGCTTGCTGGTGGATGGCAGTCACGCCTGCTATCTTGGGCAGCACAGTCAGCCCTCAGCACATACAGGTCTGGGCCTCAGTGAGACAGATACCTGTACCCAGTGAAGAGTGTTCACATCGCATGAATCTGCCCAGGGCCTGGCCCTCTCAGTGTGGGCTGCAACCCTACAGGGATGTCATAAGATAGTCTTACTGGTACAGGTTGCCCGTTGGGAAGGTTGAAGCAGGCACACACCCTTGGATCCCCACTGCTCTTGGGGAAGGTACTGGTATCTGCTCCACATCATGTTGTTGAGAAAACCGCAACACAGCGGGTGATGGTCACAACCTGGGGGACAGAGGCAGGTACAGGGCTGTGGACCCCACTTGATTGGCCACCTCATTGCCCCCAAGGGTCATCTCAGCCATGGCCCCTCTCCTGTTTAGGTCCCCTGGGCAGGTGTCAGATGAGAAAACTCTGGGTGGTCTTCCTTCCATCTAGCAAGTTCCTGCTTTGGGCCCCTCCCAGGACCACGGGGTTTCCTACAGAGGTTCTACTCCACAACCCTAGTGAGGTCAGGGCTGCCGGTCCATTATCACACGTGAGGAGGGTGTGTGGGCCAGATTAGCTTTGCAAGTGCAGCAGGAGGCAGTCCCTGTGCCAGTGGAGGGGGTAGAAGTGCGGTCAGAGAAGGCTCTCCTAGATGGGGAAGTTTGGGGAGGCGAGGGGCATGCAAGAGGCTCTTTAATTTCATACCATTTCCAGATCATGCATCTTTCTGGGGCTGTGATCTTTCCTCAAAAGATAAACACACAGAGGCCTGTAGGGTGCCTGTGAGCTGATATGGAGAAGGAACCACGGTTTCTGTATTTCTGAGAGTTCCTTAGGGGCTCACACAGCAGCAAACTAGAGCCTTAATGCCCACCAAGGTCTTGGTAGGGTTGGTGTGCCCTGTCCTTACTGTGGGCCCAAGGCCCTGCAGGACCCTTCCTGTCCTGCTCTGGGCACTTAGATGGAGGACCACAGTAGCATGGCCAACCCTCCCAGGACCAGGATGTGCTTGCCAGAGCTCCTGGGTGCCCCACACCACCTGCACAGTCCCCAGGGGCTCACCAGGCAGCACTTCCCTTGCAGGGCTCCCCGCAGATTGCCGTGGCCGCTGGGAAAGCTTTGTGGAGGAGACACTGACAGAGACCAATCGCAGGAACACCGTGGACCTGGTGAGGAGGCGCGGGTGCTCTTTAAGGCATACAGCACGGCCTGAGGACACTGACAGGCCAGCAGGGAGTCAGGAGGCAGCATAGTGCCCAGGCTCAGTCTTGACTGCTATCTAGCACATGGGTACCCATGGTTACCTTGCAAGTGTATGCAGCCTCTGGTCTGATATCAGGCTGGCTCCCTGCAGACACACGTGCAGAGCTGCTGTTGGCCCTGAACTGCTTTCCTCCCATGTCAGGAGCTGTTGCTTGTTGGCAGAGGGCTCCATTTGCCTCAGACTACAACGTACCACCTACAGCAGGGAGTTGAGCCATCATGGGGCCTTGGCCCCACCTGGCCACCTCCTTACAGCATGCCCCTGGGCCCAGACATCTGGGTGGGGTCTTGGGGCACTGGGCTGGGCTGGATGGGTCTGGGGCACTGGACTGGATGGGGTCTGGGCACTGGGCTGGCTCACACTCCCACCCCATCTGGCCTGTGTTTTAGGTGAGCACTCACCACCTTCACTCCTCAAGTGAGGACGAGGACATTGAGGGTGCTTTCCCTAACGAGCTGTCCCTTCAGCAGGTGAGGGTGTGGCCGGCACTCTGCACCCTGCCCGGCCCTTCTCAGCGCCTGTGTGCGCTTGTAAGCAGTTAGTCTTTTAGACCTGTCCCTGATAGCATTTCATAAGTGAAGGGGAGAGGGGTCCTGGGGGGAGAACTCCAAAGTCACTTCATTTTAAGGAGACTGCATTTGAAATTTAGTCAATAAAATGCTGTTTCTGACATGACCAGAGTGAATGTGCAGTCTGAGTTTTGGTAGAATGTTGAGCCCTCAACAGACAGAATTTAGCACCCACTTTTGCTGGAGGAGAAGCTCCCAAACAACCAGAGAGATTTTGGTTTCCAAAGAGTGACCTCCAAGTTTGTGGCCTGCTCTATGACGGACACCTTCCCTCCCAGTCTTTCTCCGAATACCAGATCCAGCAGATGACCGCCAACTTCGTGGATCAATTTGGCTTCAACGATGAGGAATTTGCAGATCAGGACGACAACATGAAGTGAGTCCATTCACATGTGCCAGGAGACCCTCTACCTCCAACACTGGCATGATCCCTCTCCCTCCCTGCTACTCAAGTCCCATGGTGGCCTGGTGTTCCCCAGTGAACAGCAAATGTTCTCTGGCTACTTGAGGGTGCCAAGTCCACTGGACCAGCCCTGGCAGAGACTGTGCTGAGGGCCAGCTCTCTTGATTTTTTTTTCCCTTTGTCACCCTCGGTAGAGTGCTGTGACATCACAGCTTACAGAAACCTACAGCTCTTGGGCTTAGGCGATTCTCTTGCCTCAGCCTCCTGAGTAGCTGAGACTACAGGCGCCTGTTACAATGCCTCGCTATTTTTTTTTGTTGCAGTTTGGCTGGGGTTGGGTTCAAACCTGCCACTCTCAGTATATGGGGCCAGTGCCCTACTCACTGAGCCACAGGCACTGCCCTAGCTCTCTTGTTCTTGCAGTGCCCCATTCGACAGGATTGCAGAGATTAACTTCAACATTGATGCCGATGAAGACAGTGTGAGTGAGCAGGGGCTATACCTGGGACACATGGGAATGTTGGTGGGGGCAGAACATGCAGCCATTTTATCTCACTTGCCCAGAAAGCTCAGGCTGTGCCCATGGCTTGGCCTTTGTCACCGGGGTACGTGGGGGGCCCTGAGCCAGTGAGGCATATGTGGCAGGACTAGGAGGGGCCCTGTGTGGAAGCACAGAGCAGAGTTGCCCCCATGCTGCCCCATCCCACCCTCTAGCCAGGCAGGAGCCCAGGGCCAGGCCTCTCATCTCCCTGAGGGCCTCAAGAAACCGACCTCCGGGTTCTGTCCTGCAGCCCAGTGCGGCTCTGTTTGAGGCCTGTTGCAGCGACCGCATCCAGCCCTTTGATGATGATGAAGAGGAGGAGGACATCTGGGAAGACAAGGAGACTCGCTGTGCCACCCAGGCGGTGGCCAGAGCCAGGTACGTGCCCACTGTCCTCTCAAAGCTCTGCCCAGGGACAGGCAGCAGCCATTCTGTCAAGGGTCCCACCACCTCGTAGAGCGTAAGCCTAGGGCCTGGAGTGCCAGTGACCAGATGCAGCCACAGTGCTGAGGCCTGGATCTAATCGATGTTCTTTTCTCAGGGCCCTTCCTGCCCTTGCCCCTGCCTTGGGCCACCACTAGTCCTCTACCCTGAGCCACTTGGCTTCTGACTCACACTTTCCCTCCAAGGTTTGGAGCTCCCCAGGCTTCAGAGAGCTGTACCAAGGATGGTCTGGAGCACAGAGGCCAGGACAGAAAGGCGAGCTCTGAAGCAGACAGAGACGCCCTTGGAGTGGGCACCCCCACAGCCCCTGTGAGGAACGAAGGTCCCCCCATGGAGGGTGATTCAGAAGGTAGTGCTGGGTGCTAGGGAGTGGATGTGAATGTGGGGGACAGGATGTGGTATCCCGGCTGGGTGTTGCAGGGGCCTTGTTTGGAGCCAAGGCATCTAGAGCCACCTGTGGCCTGTATCTATGCTTCTTGTTTGCATATGCCTTTGTGCAGATCTGGGGGCAGCAGGTGCCCAGGTGTCCTTGGGAGGGGTCCTTCTGCACTATGCCCAGGACCAGATAGTCTCTTGCCTCTACCTCCTCTCCTATGGTTACTCAGCCACATCTCCAAGGCTTTTTGGTGTCTAGCTCGTCTCCACTAGGGAGGGCTTGTCCCATAGTCTGGGCAGCATGTGTCACATACGTGGCCTGACCACCCCTCACATTCACGCAGCACAGTGGCCCAGCCAGATGTTTAGGGCAGGAGCCAGCCCACCCCATAGGTACTACCTCTCATAAGACTCTCTTCTCACTTCTGCCCTGCAGGTGGCACCAAGCTGCTCAGACTCAGGGGAGGGGCAGGCATCTCTTTTGGGAGGGGCCATGCCCTCAGCTGAGACTGAAGATGGGCCTTGAGACCCTAGGGAGGCAGGAATGTCCACAACAGGAGGAAGGCAGCCCACATGCAAAGCAAGGGAAGGGGCAGCCATGCTCAGCAAGCTGCCTTGCCTCTCCCAGGTCTGGTCCTAGGCAGGACACACTGGATAGAATGTGCGGGGTAGCCACATCACCTCCACATCTATCATCAGCCCTGCAGGTGCCCAGCAGCCCCATGTGGGCAGGTGCACAGTGACTCCCACATACCCCAGGGTGTCAGTGGTTTGTCAACTCCCTTAAGCTGCCCTTCTTATTCTCAGTGTTCAGAGGACCTGGGGCCACAACAGCCTCTGGTGGAAACCTGCTCCCAGGGGCACTTCCCAGTCCAAGCATCCATCCCAGGGATAGCCCTAAGTTCCCACTGAACTCTGTGACCCAGGGTGGATTATGCTGCCTTTCCTCTGCCCACAGCACCCCAGGCCTATGCACACCTGACACTGTCTCTCCCTAGCAGGCAGCAAGTGGACAGCAGTGTTTGATGAATCAGTGAACTCAACACCCACAACTCCAGGAGTGGTGAGGGACAGGGGTTCCAGCGTGTGGGCAGCCAGCACCTTGGCTCCAGAGGAGAGAGGCTGGGCCAAGTTCACCGACTTCCAGCCTTTCTGCTGGTACCAAACACATCAGCACGTGGGGGCTGAGCCGGGGGTGCCCATCTCCCAAGGGTTCCCACTGATCTCATCCTTTTTTGCAGCACCGAATCAGGGCCCAGGTGCAGCTCTCCTGTGGACACAGGGTGCAGCCATGCTGAAGGTAGCCAGAGCCAGGATCTGGAGAAAGCTCGTGAGTAGAAATAGCAATGGCTGGGCGGTGCCTGTGGCTCAGTGGGTAGGGTGCCGGCCCTATATACCAAGGGTGGCGGGTTCAAACCCGGCCCCAGCCAAACTGCAACAACAACAACAACAACAAAATAGCCAGGTGTTGTGGCGAGCAGCTGTAGTTCCAGCTACTTGGGAGGCTGAGGCAAGAGAATTGCCTAAGCCCAGGAATTGGAGGTTGCTGTGAGTAGTGTGATACCATAGCACTATACTGAGGGTGATAAAGTGAGACTCAGTCTCTACAAAAAAAAAAAAAAAAAAACAAAACAGCAGTGGCTTCACCCTCTAGCCTGTGGGGACACTTGGCCTTGTCCAATTCCAGGACCTGGGGCAGGCCAGCCTCTCCTTGGTGGCAGTGGGAGGAGTAAGCTGCGGCCTCACATGAGGCCATGTCTCAGTAGTGATGCTGGGGTTTGCATACACCTGTGGGACTGAAGCAGCCATGAGCAGATGGGACCCCCAGCCCTAGGGGGCTTGAGAGGGACATCTAGGCCACTAGACTGCCCTCAGAGCCAGATTTGGCCAGGCTGCAGGGTCCAGGTCTGCACCCTGGTCCTGAGTAGCAGTGTTAGGATTCCAGCATGGAGAAGAGTGCTAATACACTGGTGACAAGAGGCCATCCTGGGGCCTGATTAGGGTCCCTGGTCCCCAGCCCCCTAGTTAAAATTAGAAGTTCATCCCAAGCAGCCAAGAGCCCTAGGAGAGTAACAGCTGGTCTCCCCAGTGCTGTAAGGGTGCCAAGTCCTTTGGGCTTGGAGCCATGGCAGGGCTACATGGGGCTGAGGCGGCCACTCAAGCCTCTGCTTTCTCATCTGAGGGCATGGCACCCTGTCTCATGGAGAGTTCACAGCAAGTATATGAGCTGTCTGCCCTTCACATGGTTCCTGCAGACTCAAGTAGATAGCGCAGCAGTGACTATGTCTGTGTCTCATGGACTGTATACTGGCCCCATACAGACTGTATACTTGGCCCCAAGTAGATAGTGCAGCAGTGACTATGTCTGTGTCTCATGGACTGTATACTGGCCCCTGTATACTAGCCCCATACAACATGTAAGGCAGTGTTGGCTGTACTCTGTGGCTTTCCTGCCCTCATTGGACATCACAGTCCTTCTGTTTTGCAGTTGGCCCAGCCTCCCCATGTGCCTGGAACGTGTGTGTCACCAGGAAGGCTCCCCTGGTGGTCTCTGACAGCAGCTCCTCTGGGGGATCTGACAGCGAGGATGAAGAGAAGGCAGCTGGTGCCACAGAAAGCATGGGCAGGGGCCCTGGCCCGGAGGCCCCCCTGCTTCCCAAAGTGGCCAGGACTGAGGCGGCTGTCATCAGCAGGTCTGAAGGGGGTGCCTAGCCTGCCTGGGTCCTTGGGTGCACAGTGTGGTTTCCAGACTCTGTCCTCAGCTCTCTGAATGCAGGTTGAGGCCAGGGCCTTCTGACCCAACAAGGGCTGGCTCAGGAACTGCTGTATGGACTGATGCCCATGCATTTGAATAGAAAGTGAACAGGTTGGGAGGGGGTCTTCTTTGACACAAGCACCTGTTTTCTCTGTTGAAAGTAGTTGAGAAGACAGGGTCTGTATCCCAAATGGCACCCCAGGATATGATGGGCAGCCCCCGCCACAGAGGCCCTGATTGGAGAGGACAGCTCAGCTCTTAGGGTTCTGGGAATGGCTGAGCTGCTTGGCACTTGGAGCAACCTGGATTGCAGGGTACAGCTTGCACAACTTACTGTCCAGCCGACAAGCATCTTTAGGGCTTGCCCAGTCCTGTCTCCTGCCCCCACCGATTTTCAGATGTGCCCACCTCAACCCAGGCACCTCAGAAACACCTGTTGCACTCAGACAACAGGATAGGGAGTGTCTCACAAGGGCACTCAGGCACCTAAAGCCTGGCTAGGGTTGGTGGTGGACAGAGGCCCCTCGGTCCCCCTCTGGCACCCGTCTTCCCTGGCCAAGAGCTATCCCTGGGGAGTACGGAGAATGTCCTTTTAGCAAGTTCAACCCTGTCCCCCCCCCCGCCCCCCACAGGAAGGTCTCTGGGCCCCATCAGTGAACAGACAGGTTCCTCATGCCTCTGGGGAGCCAGGAACACCTGCACATCAGGAGCTAGTGCTGTCCTGGGAACAGGATGGGCCACAAGAGGCTGGGCCAGCAGGAAGCACCAGCATCAGGTGCAGCTGACAGGAAGGTGGGCCTGGGCTTGCAGGAGCACCAGGGGTCAAGGAGCATAGGGAAAGTCCCTGGCTGGACCCCACCAGGAGGGATGAGATACCATTCACACCAGGCCATACATGTGGGCAAGGACTTGGCATCTGCTCTGAGTGAAACAGCACCTGTGAGCCCTTGAGTCAGTTCCATTGTCCCTGACTGCTCCTGGCTCCATGGTTAAGAAGGGTCAGACCAAGGGTGCTCCGAGCCCCTTGCCTTTCCTCCCCCAATAGATAGGGCAGGTCTGATACCTTGGAAGGCCCTGCCCACTGACCCCTGGTGGTCTAGAATATCCATGTGGTAATGGGACTCTTGGGACTCCCTTAGCCAGGCTATGAGCTCAATGCTGGGCCAGACCCATTGGCATGGCAGGTCAGCTTTGGTGTGTAGCCTCACCATCTGTGCTCAAAGCTCCTACTTGGCCCATGTTTCAGGGACCCCCGACAGGCATGGCCCATCCATCCAGCCACCCTGCACTAAGTGTATTTGCAGTAAGTGAGGGTAGTCACAGCTCAGGAGAAAAAGGCCAAGGCCACAGAAGCAACTGTTGGGAAGAGAGCCTGTCCTTGCTGACACCAACACCTGAGCCAGAGTCCCATGTGTTGGAATCACACCAGAGTCCTGAGTGGGCTTAATTCCTTATGAGAAACCTTTACTCTCTTTTCCTAAGCATCCCCCCAAAAAACTTAAATCTGCTCTAAAAAGTAGGTAAAGCTTTCCTCCTACAGAGTAAGCTGCCTCGTTCACATGTTGTGTGCTGAAGTCCCCTGGAGTTGTCACTGCACCACTGCAGCCCTCCCTGGGCTAGAATCTGGCTCAGAGACCTTACCGTCTGCTGCAGGTGGCCGGCTGGGACTTGGGGTATCCCCCACCCACATGTAGTATAAGGTTGGAATTGAAATAAAGCAGCAGGAGCATCCTGGGCCCCTGGAGAATGAGGCACCTTACACACTGAGCAGGTCCTGGGTGTTGCTTGGATGGCCTGAGGTCTTGACAAATGGGACCCTGTCCTGGCATTTGGAGTGCACACAGCTCCTGGGCTGCCCATAGTAGGCAGGGGCAGGAGGGGCTCAGAGTTCTCAGGCCACCCTCTGGACCCCTGCACCCTGTTGGATTTTGGGCCCTGTGAGGTGGGGTGGCACTGAGACTGGGGTCTCTTATAACCAGAGCCTGTTTTCGCCACACAGGGCTGAGCATACTAACAGCCCCACCTTTGAGGAAATGACTACTGTCCCAGCCGTGGCTGTATTCCCTACAACCACCACCACTACAGCACCAAGCAAGGCTGACTCCCCTGTGGCTTCGCCAGCAGTCTCTGCAGTGGCTATGGCAGTCTCCCCAGGGCCCATCGTGGTGGTCACTACAGCCCCAGCTACAGTGGTCACTCTGGAGACGGTGACAAAGGATAGGTGAGCAGGGTGGGCAAGGAGAAAGGGGAGGGGAGCTGGATGGGGCCTGCAGTCAATAGCCTGAGTGGAAACTCCACCTTGTTCCTTTAGGAAGGACTCCCTGCCAGGAGGAGCTGCCTTAAATGGCCCCTTGTGATGCTGCTGCTGCCTGGCCACGGCATGCCCTAGTCAGGCTGCATCCTTAATCAAGAAAACTACCTGGTGATGCAATTTGGTTTTCTTTTTTAATTTAATTTAATTTTAAAATAAATGCTGCATTGGTAAAGCTGGCAGTTGGAACCAATCACATGGCCCAGCTGCGTCTCTCCTGCCCAACCTTCAGTGGCCCTGCTGAGGGACAATGGATGTAACCTCAGCCTTCTCCAGGCCCTGTAACACAGCAGTGCCTCAGAGGTGCAGCCTCTGCCCACAGAGCTGGGGGCCAAACCCTGAGATGCCACCAGGGACTGATGGGCCAGGAAGGGTGTGGACACCAAGGCTCAGGTTTCACTCATTTCTTTTTTTAATGGACATAGGAAGAGTCAAGTTTTTGCACTTTGTATCCAACTGTGGCACAAAGCCTCCCCCCAACTCCTACAAACGTGTGGGAGTCTGGCCAGGTACAAATTTGACTAGGCAGGCTCTCAGACCCCCAGGGTCCTAGCTGCTCCATGGCTCTGGGAGCTGGCATGGAACCAGGCTGCAAAATTTGACTGCCTTAATAAAACAAGACCACCTGGGCCTGGCAGGGTGTCCCTGTGCCCAGCAGCCTAGACCAGCAATCTCTGGAGTAGGTGGTTGGCGTGCATGGTAGAAGCCACTGGTCTGTGAAGAGGGGGGACACAGTAGGGTGCTGGGGGCTCAGGTACTGGCTTCCAACAGTGCTGGGCAGAGGTTCCAGGAGACCATTTTTTAATGTTCTGATAATCTGACAAGGTGCCCAGAACCTAATTCCCAATAAAAGCTGGTCCTTCTTACTGGAAACCCTGTGTAGTGTTCAGCTGTAGGCCCCCAGGCCTACCCCATGGAACAGGGGTACAAGCTATGTCACAGCAGTGGGTCTCTAAATGTGAACAGGACTGAGCTTTTTCTGTTAGAAAATAAAAGTTCAACCTGAAGGTCCTGAGTCAAACACCAGTCAGAAGATTGGTAGGCCCAAGATGCCAGCATACTCTCCTGCCTTCCCTTGTCCTCGCTGGCTAAGTCAGAGGGTTTGTCTGAGAAATGACTCCATGCCTCAGGCCCTGCACTGCCCTATGCCCAAGGTACATCTAGGGCCAGCTGTTCACAGCACACCCTACCCGCAAACCTGCAATTCAGAGGGCAGGATCCATCCATCTGGTCCTGGGAAGCCCCAGGCAGTGTCAACAGCCTACCTTAGGCCACCCTTATTTCCCCCAGGGTGTCCCACACCCTACCACCCTTCCCCTCTTCCACACCCGCTGCTCACCTCCTCCCTGACAGCCAGGTTACCAGTAGCCATTCCTAGACACCTAGACCCTCTCTCTGCCTTTGCAATGCCCATAACCCTTGTTGCTTCTGCTACTGCCAGCCCCCACCCCAGCCCCAGTGTATCATAGGCAAGGACACAGCAGCCAGGCAGGACTAAGACAGGAAAGCAGCAGCCAGTGACAAGCCCCACAACAGACACCACAGGACACAGCCCACCAAGGGCTACTGAAGGAACATCCCAAGGGGCAGGTATCTGTAGCAAAATTCCCAAGAACTGAGGGTCAGCACATTGTTAGTTCTCTCTTTATATAGACTCTGATTCTAGAAACAATTCACCTGTGGCCGGCCGGCCCGGGCCAGCACACTGACGGGGCCAGACTATTTACAGGCCCATCTCGGGGCTGTACCATGGCTACCTCCCGGCATGGTGCTCACCCATGATGCTGGAGTTAGAGCCAGCCGGGTGGGGTGGGGTGGGGTGAGGTGGGGCAGGGTGGGGACTGGGACTGTACACACAAGTGCTGGGGGCTCGGGGCCTCAATACTGTCGAGGGCCGGGGCTGTAAACATGGCCGGGGCGGCCCTGCCCACCCCTAGTGGTCTGTAACGACTGGAAGCAGAGCAGCCCAGGCAGGGCCGGGGAGCTCAGGCGTCCGACAGACAGCTCTGAATCCGGTCCACCCACTGCTGGGCTGAGGGCACATCCTGGGCACAGAAGTTGTAAACGCGACGTGTTGTCTTCACCTGGAAATGGGTGGGTCAGTGACTCCACAGCCCCATACTGTAGCCCCTCCCTCCCAACTTCCAGGCCCAACTGAGACTCACGTCAAAGAAGGCCTTCTCATCCACGGTCTTAGGGGCACCCATGGTGGGCGTGCCTGGTGCTACAGCCTCCACCTCTGCCAGGTCAATGACACCTTTGCATTCCGTGTCCACACGGTGGTCATAGTAGCGCAGCTAAAAGGGCCATGGAGTCAGGGCAGCCCCTCCCCAGTCTCTCCTCCCCCTACCACTCACTCACCTGGTGCTTGGTCTTGTCTAGTACGAACCAGCGGGCCTTCCATGGCTTCATGAAGGCCCCCTTCTTGTACAAGGTGCCCTCATAAGACCTATGTGTGTAGAACCAGGGCCATCAGACCCCAGCCAAGTCTAGGCCCCAGCAGTTGTCCCAGGCCAGGTAGTAAAATCAAGATCCCTTTGCCAGAGAGCACTGGCCAGGGGGTTCTTAAAGCAGCTCTAGGGCTGCAGGCCCAAGGAAAGGATTATCCCCAGAAAGAGGAGGCAAAGGCTCCACCACACCCCTCCAGACACCATGGAGGGTCCCATGACACCAGGGCCTCAGGGTTTTGGGAAAGCAGTCCCACCAGGAAGAGCGCTCAGTCAGGTCTCAGCCACAGCAATGTGGCTCCTCCAGCCTCAGAGGGTGAGACAGACCCCGCTGGCCCTACCTCACAAGTCCCCCACAGCCCCTGCCCCTCCCATAGGCTGCCTGTGGTCCCTGGTTCTATGCTCCAAACTCCTTCCAATGTTGATTTATACTTGGGCCACCGGCATGGCCTACCACACAGATCTTCCCACTCTAAGAAATGACTAGAGCTCCCTAAAGACAACTGCACACCCAATTGAGAACCACCTACGATCCGAAACCCTGCTCAGAGGGGCCCACGTGGTGGTGGGAGTGCCTCATACCTGTTCTCACTCTCAGCTGTCTGGAACTGGCTGTAAAGGGTGCTGGTGCTGCGGCGGGCAGCCTGGCGGGAGCTGGACGCTGTTGAGCCACTACTCTGGTCGCTGTCCAGGCTGAGGCTCAGAGTGGAGCCCACAGGCCCCTCCTGTAGGTACACGCCCAGCGAGCGGCGGTGGTGGGGCACACTGGACACTAGTAGGGAGCTAGGGGTGCCCTGGGGGCAGGAGGGCAGGGCCTGTGTTAGGGCTGAGCAGATTCTACTTGCTCCAAGCAACACGCCCTCCACCACCTCCATCCCTGCTCACACGTCCATCTGGCCGGCATTCCAGGCGCTGTGCAGCCTTTACCCGGTCCCAAGTATCCTTCCAGCGCTCAGGGGGTCGGCCCAGCTCTGTCTCCAGCCGCTGTAGCTCCTGGGAGAAAGTTAGTTAACTAAAAGGTTATTCAGCGCAGTGCCATGGCTCAGTGAGTAGGGCACCAGCCCCATATACCAAGGGTGGCAGGGTCCAACCCGGCCCCGGCCAAAGTGCAACAAAAAATAGCCAGGCGTTGTGTCAGGTGCCTATAGTCCCAGCTTCTCCGGAGGCTGAGGCAAGACAATCAACTCAGCCCAAGAGCTGGAAGTTGCTGTGAGCTGTGATGCCACGGCACTCTACTAAGGGTGACAAAGTGAGACTCTTTCTCCAAAAAAAAAAAATAAAAGGTTATTCAGAAGAAAACATCCATACTAGAGCACAGAAAGACAAAACAATGAAAAACATATACAGGGCAGCACCTGTGGCTCAGTGGGTAGGGCGCAGGCCCCATATACAGAGGGTGGCAGGTTCAAACCCAGCCCTGGCCAAACCACAACAAAAAAATAGCCAGGTGTTGTGGCAGGTGCCTGGGAGACTGAGGCAAGAGAATTGCCTAACCCCAGGAGTTGGAGGTTGCTGTGAGTGATGTGACACCACAGCACTCTTCCAAGGGCGATAAAGTGAGACTGTGTCTTTACAAAAAAAAAATATATATACATATACGTATATATATATAGCAAAGAGTGTATTTGGAGTACAGAAGATACCAAGAGGCTCGGTGCCTGTACCTCAAGCGGCTAAGGCACCAGCCACATA